AGCTGATTGAGAGGTCACGAAATTTCATGACGTCATTAAATTCTGCCCAACTTGTTATCTTTGCCTTGTTCAAATTTCTTCCGAGAAAAAAATGTTTCAAGTATTCTAGAAAATTGCTTAGGAAATCTTGCTTGGACAAACAGCTGGCTGTTCCGCAACGGTGGACTACGTACGGACGGTAAGTTGTGCGGCTAAAATTGAGCCTGATTCACGGTAGAGCGTTGGCTGAGCAAAAGCGTTGCCTGCTGTGCGGGTTCGACTCCCGCCGACGCCGCGAGTTATTTCACAATTGGATCAACTAAATTATGAATAGCCGTTGCCCAAGTAAAACAAAAGTTGCGAATCTTTCCTCAAAAGAATTAATTTTGAATTCGAAATGTTAATACGGTTATGCAGTCAACGAACGTACACAGCAACAATGCAAGTATGCCCTTCTATCGAGATCTGCCAAGGCTCAGTATTCCCAGTGATATGGTCTTTGAAAGTCGTCGTGTTTAGAGATACATCACGGTTTGGGTTGCGTTTATATAGACTTCCAGATAATCTGAGAGATTCACTCGCAAATGCTTGAATGTAAACCAGCTATATAGCAACGTTACAATTTACCATATATACAACCCAGGTACTAACTAAAAGGCCAAGACACGTGTTTCGTCAAAATTCTGCCACTGTCGCTAAACTAACTCTTAGCTATATGGTCCGTCACTCGACTGACCAAATTTACGTCACAACGGGCCGGAAAGCAACCTCCCTGTTCGCCATATTGTAATGCCATTGTTGTACCTTTCCACGATCATTGGTGGTGAACGCACGTTTTAGCTTATTCCAGTCAAACATTCACACACAAAAAGTGAACCCGTCACAGCTCATTTTACTGTATTCATTGTGGGCATCCGCTACGCGGAAGTTAAGCTATAGAAGCCATTTGCAGCCCGAGTGCTAGAAAATAGAAAGCTGTAGGCCACATACCACAATTTATTTCAAACACAAGGAACTTCAAATTTATGGGTAGGGAAATTTTTTGGATCGGCCGTAGGATGTGTAGACTTGTCCTTATCCAACGGTATAATGTCCACCGAAAAGGGGTTCGTGAAAGGAATTTGCAAATATCTGTGAGGGTATCGATGATGGTGACTCAGAAAAAATGTGCAACCATTGCTTTACTCCAACCTGACATACTGCCCGTTCGAGGAGCAGTTTCATGTTATCAAGCACCCATGCCTTCCAGTCGTCCAATTCTGCTTCGGGAATGGAACGTCTGTGTGCATCTGTGATTGAGCTGAGGTTAGTAATAGTGAGTTCCGCAAGTTGCAGGATGTGTTTTGTAGAGTCTCTCTTGTCCAGCACCTTCTCCTCCAGCTTGACACGAAGCACTGCCTCCGGAATGACCATCCTAACATTATCTGCATGGTGCTGAAACGCAGGGGGCATAGTTCGTCCCCTGAAATATTAAAATTCGAAATTACTTTTGTAGTAAGTGCTAATGTAGTATTTATTCATTTCACATCGATTTCCGGATGCCAAATAATAGGGTTAGCGCTTATTAAGGAACGGACTTAGGTAGTAAGAGCGAAAGTAAGATAAATTTCTTTCACATCAATTTCCGGATCCCAACACAGGAGACCTCGTTAGAGTGAAAGATGATCGATTGAATAGAAAATGAATGGTTAATGTATGTCTAACTCACATCTGCTGAATTAGAATATCAACACGTGCAGTCTAAATGGTACACCAGACGTCCTTGACGAGTGCTGCTCTGCGAACGCTGCAGCACTCCGGTTTTGCCTGTGCCGCACTGATGGTCATTCTAAATGTAGTCCATGTCTTCTTGAATACATCGTGGCCCCCTGTGAATCGCTGGATCGGATCCACAAGCTTTTGTACAACATCTGCATAATTTACGGGTCCGTCTCTGCTTGCGCATTTTGCTGGATCTGGATTGCGAAAGAAAGACAGTCATTTGGTTATTTTCTGTTGACCATACTGTCCAAATCCATATACGCAGTATTTGTAAAAAAGCGTGCATATGAAACCTTTCGCTTACCAGAGTTTCTATGGCAGGCCATACCCGATGTTATGCTAAATAACAAGATCGCAATAGATGTTTGCATTTAATTTGCGGGGTGGGAAATTTACTATCGACTACTTTCCGGCTTTTATATACAGGCTTATCCAATCAGCTTTTACCTTCTCAGATAACACAGTTCCATGCCCTACGACTGGCTTGGCCCAAGAAGGTGCATACAAAAGAACAACCCATAGCTGTATTGGCTGAAGGGAGAATGTCTTTCTGCGTAGGTACATTTCATTACCCATCTCTCAGGTTTATCTGTCAAATGACTTGAACAATTCGCAGGGAAGAACTTAAACAGTACATATAGTAAAAAGTCCTTTATTGCTCTTTTATTCTTCACAGGGTCGGGTAAAGCATGCTAGTGATTAGAGAAAGCCAA